GGAGACAGTGGCGGGGCTCACCTAAAAAAAAATCCTATTTAAGAATCACTACCCTAGTATAAACTGTGGTATTTGATAAGTACTCATTCAAAGCATCATTTGGCCAGAGAAACGTCGAAGTGTGCGCTCTCCAGTAGTAGAGCAACCTACGCCTATGATACCACTTCATGGACGCGACAGGCCGAGCTCGTAGCTTGTACCATGAGCGTGCGAAGGCGTTTTGCGCGTTGGTGTCTCTTTTGTTGCACTGAAGCGGGGAATTAGTAACTGTGTTTCAAGTTTACTCTGTAAATCCTGTGCACCACAGCAGCTTTTTGGAAGTACATGTTGCTGGGCTACTCAGTTCGCGTTCACGTACAAGCCATATAAGAAGTAATGGGGAAACTGGCGCGCTCCCTCGAAATTTGTTCGCGCAAAAACAACCATAGTTCTGTTGTTTTCCCATGACTACATCAGTTATCATTGTATCATTGACATCAGTTATCATATATCTGTTATCATTGACAGGGTCTTCGCACCTATTACTTAGCAGCACCAGTATGAGGACAACGTCTGCGTCTGACAAGAGTACGGTGGTTGACTTAAAAAGTGATGATCATATAGTCTCATGAAACTGAAGTTACAGCTCTGCTGCTGGAGTTACCGTTAAGCTACAATGAGGATCGCAGGTACTTGAATATATCAAAGCATCTTTGTTTATCAAGTGCCGCTGTAATGGAAGTGTACTCAAAGATCCTGAACCAAACTCATTGTTGGGATCAAAGCAATAGAAAAAGAATCAAAGAAATAAAAGAGAGAGTTTGGAAAGAAGAAGGGAGAGGGAAAGGGTGGCAGTGAAGTTGGTGATACGATCCAGCAAGTAAAGAATCCATATAAAGCAAACTGAAAGCAAATTGACAGGGAAATGAAGCTTTCACTTCCAGGACTTCCCCTTCAAAAACATTCACACGCAAACATTTCTGTATAAAATCTTCATACAGTATAAGGACTAGCAGATCCCATCAATAATGATAAAAATTCGGCAGATTCCACGTACCTAGGAATCGACGTAATGCGAAGCATGAGGAGAGAAGGTGGCCGTGGTGTAATTTTTTTGTTGTGTGACACGTCATCAAATGACGCTAAATATATGTGCAAACGTTGCACGCACAGACATATGTGGAAGAGTTGCAGATGTTTATACAACCAGTTATTTCCATTTGCCGAACGATGCCAACTGGAACACATGTATTAGAAACACCAGAAGCTGATATGAAGCGCTGATGCTCGCAAGGATTCTGGCCCTGAACACTGCCACATAAATCAACTTCAGCGCATGGCAACTTACCACAATTGACGTTAACCCGACGTGACAGATGTATGAGAGGAGCACATGTGTAATGTTTATAAAATTGGGTAGGCAGTACTGCAACCACTATTGAAGTTTCACGAAGCTTATCGTCTATTTGAAAAGTATTTCCTATACCTGACGTAGCTCTGTGGTAAAATGCTTCATTGCCACGAAAAATGCTTGAGTTTGATTCCGGCGGCGACCCTGACATTTATTCTTTCCATTGTCGGGTTGACACTACCGGTTTCGGTTATTTCTTAACGCTCGCACGTTAAAATTACCGAATGTGTGTTCTCGTCGTTCCTGGGTAAGTGTCAATCACCCGTGGCACATACCCGCATACCAATGGCACACACCTGCCCGCGGGTATGTGCCACTGTCTGGAGGGACGTGTTTGACGACGTACGTGACGCGATTGGGACATTGTTGAGGTTTTGAGCAGCGCGTCATAATCGTGAAAACATGGTACCCTCCCCTGCTAACTTTGGTTCACGCCAAGTTAAGGGGGTGACCACAAGAGCAACCAAACGTAAGCGGCTAGCTAGATATAGATAGATAGATAGATAGATACGCCCAATGTCGCCGAAGTTCACTAAGAAATGCTTCGCATTTAATAATAATAATAATAATAATAATAATAATAATAATAATAATAATAATAATAATAATAATAATAATAATAATAATAATAATAATAATAATAATAATAATATAATAATAATAATAAAACATTATAACTTACTGAAATTTTCTTGCTTCAGATTCAGATTAGCTCTACTACTGATTACGTCAGAGTAGCTAATCCGAAGAAGGGTCAACGCATTAGTCCATAAGCAAAGTTTCAATCATAGTTCTCCGACAACTTCAAACTTTCGGGCTTTAGCAAATCTGTTGAAGTGAAGGCAGCTATTTACGGCGTGAGTGTCAAGCGTATAGGAGTATGATGCAATCTATTCAGATGCCAGAAATTATGCATTCAAATTATGTGACTTCGTAGGTAAGCCTTTCAGAGAGCAACTGAATGACACGAACAAAGACCCGTAAATTTCAGCGTCCCAACATGTAACGTATAAAAAAAAAATGTGAATCGTCTGTATTGTGGCTTGAAAAAATTTTGGAAAGCTTTTATTGAAAATGGTGGTTTTTATCTCGGTTCATATATCTTCACCCCGCTTATGGACGGCAGCATTGATTTGTTTAGTTCATGATAGACCCAAGCTTTGGAGTGTTTTTGCGTGCATGTTGTTTCACAAGTGTTTACGTGTTGGGGTTTCGTAAGTTAGTTCTTTAAAATGTAGATTGACCCTATGGTGCGCCACCGAAAGAAGGCTCCCGACTTTCACAATTTTCTAGTTTATCTAAAAGATAACAGTAACAAACAATAAAAAATTCGGCAGATCCCACGTATCTGGGAATTGACGTTATGCGAAGCGTGCGGAGGGAAAGTGACCGTGTTGCATTTTTTTTACTGAAGGACACATCATGAAATGGCGCAAAATATTTGTACAAATGTAGCACACACCAACGTTGGCACACACAGACTTTGTTGAAGAGTTGCAGATGTTTATATAACCAGTTGTTTGTACTTTTGCAATGATGCCAACTGGTACATGCGTATTAGCAATGCCAGAAGCTTATATGAGGCGCTGATACTCGCGAGGACGCTGACCCTGGGCACTGCTACATAAATCAACTTGAGTGCATGGCAACCAACCACAATTGACGTTAACCCAACGTGACGGCTGTATCAAAGGAGTACATATGTAATGTTTAACAAATTAACCGCAACCACTATTGACGTTTCACAAAGATTAGCGTCTATTTGAAAAACAGTTCCGAGACCAGGCGTAGCTTTGAGGTAAAATGCTTCATTGCCACGCAAAATGCTTGTGCTTGATTCCAGCTGGGACCCTTACATTTATTCTTTGCATCCATCGGGTCGACGTCACCCATGTCTGGTATTTTTAACGTTCGCACGTTCAAATTGCCCATGTGTGTTCTCGTCGTTCTTGGGTAGATACGAAGTGTCAATCACCTGTGGCACATACTTGCACACCAGTGGCACATACCCGCTTGTGGGTATGTGCCACTGTCTGGTAGGAAGTGTTTGACGACGTACACGACGGGATTTTGACATTGTTCATGTCTTGACCAGTGCGTCATATTCGTCAAGCCATCTTACCCTCCCATGCTAATTTTGGTTCACGCCAAGTTAAGCGGGTGACCACGAGAGCACCCAAACGTAAGAGGATAGATAGATAGATAGATAGATAGATAGATAGATAGATAGATAGATAGATAGATAGATAGATAGATAGATAGATAGATAGATAGATAGATAGATAGATAGAAACGTTCAGAGTCGTCGAAGTTTGCTAAAAATGCTTTGCATTTAAAGCCACTTCCAACACTGTTGCAGTCTGGGTAAACAGCGAAGATGGCAAGAAAACGCAACCACATGGTGGACGCAGCTAGACTTAACTGTTTGATCAGCTATTTGATCGCTGTTTGATGAGCTGTTTGATCGCAGCTAGACTTCGTTTTGATCACATGCTTCCTTATTTATCACTTTCTATACTGCCATCTTTCGTTCCTTCCCTCCTTTTAACCCATGCATCACTCCTCCCCCACACTATCTTTCTCACACCACGCGATGCTTTGTACCGTACATGGTTAAGCTATGGTTTGCCCTCTCAACTCATCCTTTTCCTCCTCATTTCTTTGTTCCCTACCCTGGTGCGCATGTACAAGAAAGATTGCGCAAGATGCACTGCACGTACGCCGCTCCCATAAATGCTATGTTACGTTAACAATGGACTTCGGTAGGAGCCTCGTATTACTCGCGATTGCAACGGTCGCATCGTTGCTGGAGTACTTTTGTGTCAATGTATCTAATTATAACATCAAAGGAGACAGGGCGTGTTGTTCTTTACGTTCGTCCTTCTCGTATACATAAGTGGTCGATTCTTGAAGGACACTTTTTTTTTGCAGTTTGGTTTGTTCCGCTGCGACTACACATTTTATTCGCTCATGCGTGTTACAAAGATTGACAGTGCCTTTACCTAACGCTTAAAAGAGCGGAGGTAAATACCTATGCTTTGACGAGAAACCCATTTAATTACTTCGTCATTCTCAGGCAATTACTCCTAGGACGACTTACTTTCAGGAGATTATGTAATCGAATACAACTTTATTATCGCCGTGAAAGAAGACATGGTTGACTTACATATAAGTAAAAAATGTAAATGAAAAAAAATGACAAGAATAAAGTAAATAGGGGAGCTGAGAGAAGCGTATAAGTCTGGGAAAAAGAAATACGGTGCTGTATAAGCATTATTAAACTCAGGATAAGGGCTGACCAGTTGATCATGCGAGGGTACGATGCACTGACCAAGAGTGTTAGCGTTGTCTGCGAGCTATGCCAGGTAGAGACAGACCCACTGGATAGCGTTGGAGAGAAGGCCACACAATAGCGATAATCTTCGCTACAATGCGAGCATATGTATTTCTCAAATGTGGTATCATGTGTATGTAAAGCCTCTATGGCGGTACACATAAACACGTGTACCGAGTACGTAGACCTTGTTTCAATTCTTTCACGTCTACACCCGTTGAAACCCCCCCCCCCCTCCTTAGAAAACTGTGTACTTAAACTTAACACACAGAGAAAACTCGCAGGATTAAACTTTATTATGCGTACCATTCACACATACATCCCATCACTGTCATTCATCTCGGAAAGCACCGATCTTACAGGTCATAGCTATTCACCAGCACTGAAACACTACACTAAAGTAGCAAAAATATAAATGAAGTAAGACACACTATACAAGCTTTCACATAGCATTCGCGATTGTTTTGCTTTGTTTGGCACGGTATGGCAGACTGGTCGTCAGGCTCCTGCATTTCTTCGTTGATGCTGTGAAGAGTAGCGGGAGGAGATGTAGGACGCCATTTGTTTGGTTGTCTTGATTTTCTCTAATCTGGGCAAAAATTTGATGCTCACGAACAGATGACATGCGTTTTGCAGCATTTCGGGTAGATTCCCTTGCCTTTTTTCAAGGTACAGTTCTTCGGATAGCCTTGCAGTGAGACGCGGCCGCATCTGCAGAGACAAGATCATAAAGAGCAAGCCATGAACGAAGAGCTTAATTAGATAGCGCTTTAATTAGCACACTTTACATTAGCACAATAATTGGTACGTTCTGGAAGAAAACACAATTGAGCCCCCATGCGAACACATTGCACAGCCATTTATACATTGCGCTTATTGCCTCTCATAATGGCCCGTTCCTTTCTCACGGAATGTGATTTCACTTCAGAAGTATCTGCAGGTTGGAAACGTGGCCAGAAATATTACAGCAAATGCTGCATATGGCTTAAGTGTACATGGCTAGGAGAAACAAAAAAACCATTCGGCTGCGGTTTCACAAGTGGTCTCCATTGGTTGTGCGATCAGTTCCGTCGATCTAAGCGTCGCACCCTAGCACGTTCGCCATTGGGTGCGTTGTGAGTGACGTCGTCGATCTCGTCGCAGCCGTAGCGCCGTGCATGGGCACATTAGTTTCTACTGAGACATTCCACTCGGGTAAGCCACGGACAACTCTAAAAGAGCGCCGAAAGTGGAAATGTGAGAGTGCTCGCATTGGCTGGGCCGATGGTGCAGTCGGGGCACGAGAACAAGCCTGTCGAGGCAGAGTGGCGGTAGCAACTGCGCACAAATGATCCGGCAGCCTTCCAAGCCGCTCTTAATCGCGAACGGAATGCAAGCGCCGATTGCGGGTGGATCCTGCAAACCACGCCGCCGAGTTAGCTCGCGATCCTTGCAACAACGCACAGCACCAATGTGAAGATTGCGGAAGTGCGTTCACCGGGACGAACGCCTTCTTCTGGCGGGAGCTTTTTCCAGGGCACTTTAGCTGCGACTACGACGTCTGTGACCACCTATGCATTTAACCGCATTTAACCACTCATTGCACTCCTCCATGACTGTGATCGTGCGAAGCACAATGTGCGGCATGTGAAATAAACACTGTGGCCAAGCCAAACGTATGTCTAACCTCTTTAAGAAGCATGAACATGTAACTATTAATTGTGAAAGACTTCAGTGAAACGTCAGGTTGAACCCATTGCTATTTAAGTACTGGGAGGGCACGCTTCAGCTTCGCTGGTTAGCCATTTGTACGAAGTGACCGTACGAAGTGATTTGTACGAAGTGACCGTGCGTTCATCTACTTTTTGTATATTTTCGTGGTGTGCTTCTATATGTACGCATGTAAAATACCAAAATTTGGGGGGGAGATGGTTGTAACTCCCACCCTTCGTATTCATTGCGCGTATGCTGCAGGTCAAAGCAGATGGTGCAACGACAGGAACGCAGAGACGCATAGAGTCACTTGGCGAGAACTGAAAACAGGTGCACATACAAAAATTATGATCGTCAAATTTCAATTATATGTACTTCTCCATCAATTATAACTACTTGTCTCAGTATCATTGACCTAAATGTAAAGCTTGGCGGTAACCAAGTGGTACATAGTAGATTATTGATGTTGAAACTATGCTAACTCAACGATATTGGAACTTTCTCACATCACCTGGCACAACACAGTGTCACTGTTTCATCGTTTTCGCAATGATAGAGGTCCATGTACTGTGCGTGGTCAGAGCTTGTTAAAAAGCGACAAACCATAGAAACTTTCACTGTGTGAACCAGCGTGCCACTGCCTTGACCATGCCTAGTATAGACACATCAGCACAATGTATCGACCATGTGATGGCCCAGGGCCTGCAAAGAGCCCAGATCCCTCCTTTACGACAAGTCTTACAATCATGTGATGGTTTCATCACGTCGAACGCTACATATTACTGTTGCGTTTCATTGTTTCTTTATGCTAGAAACGAAGACTGTGCTGTGAAACTTACGATGCGCCTCGCAGATACTTGAGCCGCGAATCACAGGTAAGGCTCATGCAAGGATTGGCGAGGTTGATGTGCGCTCCATCTGGAATTGCGTACTTCTTCCAGATGCATTGTTCTGAGGAAGAAAAATAATACAAGTTTCAACTTTGTCGCCTATATTGGCTTTAAAAAAGACTCGCCAGACCCCACGTACCACGGAAATCTACGTTATGCGAAGCATGCGGAGAGAAAGTGATCTTGGAGCAATTGTTTTATTGAGCGAAACGTTACGAAATTAAGACATAGATGTTTTACGTACATACATATGTTGAACAGTCTCGTATGTTTAGGCAAGCACCTGTTTACAGTTGTGTAATCATGCCAACAGGAACATGGGTATTACCAATACCAGGAGCGGTAAAGGTATGTAGCACTTGTGCTCGCGAGTATGGTAGCCATGGCTAGTGCTACGTGCATCCTTCAGGCATTGGCGCTGAAGTATATACAGCTGAGGTTAACCCGATGTGCCGGCTGTGTCATATGAGTACACATGTAATGTTCATAAAATCAGATATGCAGCACTGCGACCACAATTGACGTTTCCCCATCACTACGCCTGCAAATGGTCTTTTTCTAAAACAGTACGGACAATGGGTGTTGATCTGCGGTAAAATAATCGATTGTCACGCAGAATGCTGGGGTTTGATTCCTGCCTGGACTCTGATATTTATTTATTTCATTTGTCGAGTCAACGCTGCCGGTGTCAATTTTTCTCAACGCTCACGCATTTAAAACACCAATGGCTGTTCTCACCGTTCCTTTGTAGATATAAGCTGTCAATTACCTGTGGCATATGTACTCATACCGCAAACCACGGTATATAAGTATGTGCCTGGCGTGTCTGGAGGAAACCGTTTGAACATGTACTTGCCAGGACTTTCACATTATTCATGTCATGATCATAGAGATATATTCGTCAAACCCTCTGTCAATTCTTTACTAATTTTGGTGTACCACAAGTTAAAAAGGTTATCACGAGATACCCAGACGACTAGACAGACCGACAAGATAGATACGTAGATGGAAACACTCAAACTACCGGCAGTTCTTCAAGAAATGCTTCCAAATTAAAATGAGAAGTCCCGAAATACCCGAGGTATATCGCATAAAAATATGAACGACACACAAACACGCTAATTAAATCAGAAGACGCCCGCTGAACTCGCATAAGGTAATCACAAAGTTCTATCTAGTCAAATCTCTTCGTCACAGAGAAAATAAACGAAAATCAGGTGTAGGAATATGCATCCTAAAAAGTATAAATGCCATGAATACAGTGAAATGGTAAGTTCAGCAGGTAAGTACACGAATAAAAGATAAGACCTTAAGAGGATATAAAAACTTAAGAAAACACATAACTCGCTTTGCGCTATCAGCTTTGAACCTCGTTGCGACAAAATAATCATAACATTTCAGAGACTTGGTACTGACATGAGTTTTTCAAGCAGCAACCAGTGTTACTGCGAAGTTCAGCATACGCCCCAACTCTAAGAAGCTGCCATGCAAATTAAGGCTAGGGTTTTAGAGAATACCAAGAAGCCGTGCAGTGCCTGCAAATGTGAAAAAGAAGTGGTAAATGTGCCTACGCTTATCGCTATTTTGGTCGGGACTCTCTGAATTGATGTAGTACTCGAAAAAAAATGATAGAGAGCAACAGGCACCCATCTTCATTTATTCAGACGTGACTATCGCGCTTTGGGAAGGCTATAGTGTGTGGCGATGCTAGAAGGAGCTGCCCTAAAAGTTCGGTCAAGCTTTAAAGTATTATTATACAGAGTTCATGTAGCCCCTTCAGAGATAAGAGGACATGGTGATAAATATGTCTAAGCTAACCCTGTTACTTCCTATGTGGATACCGTCTTGCGCGCTGTAACGGGAAATTATGCGCAAGTACCACACAGCTTAGAGAACTGACGACGTAAACTAATTGATTCCCAAGTGCAATCCTAAGATTGTTTACAAGATTACTAGTTTGCAGAAGGGTGTCTTGAAGGGTCACTTCGTACTTGATACTGAGGGGAACAAAGCGATAAACGGGGCAGAGAAAGAATGAACACAAGACACAAACGCTCGTGTCGGGCTTTTATTCTTTCTTCATACCGTTCTTTCCACTGTTTCCCTAAGTACTAGTTTACATTTTAGCCAAAGGGAAACGTGAGCTTTGTTATCTATTTTCTTCGATGAACATCCATCACTGTTTAACAGCAGCTAGAGCATGAAACGAGCTTCTCGTTTTCGATTAGTGCCACCATATTCCTATTTTAAAACCGTGCAGTGGCTGGAAGCCGGTGCAGTATGTGATGGGTTCATAAATCGTCAATGTGCGTCATACATGTCCATATCTGCTATTCGATTAGACTGTCGTGAACCTTTTAACAAATGTCACTGCATGCTTGTCAACTGTTCTTCCATGCAAGTATATCTCGGTGGGTATTGTCAAATCTAGCAGAGTTCGCTCCATTTCTAAAAACATTCTGGCTAGTGAGTTCACGGGCAGCGTTGTTGGCTAACTTATTTGGATTGATGGGGCACCGTTCGATATTGCTCAAATAAGCTGGGAATACCGTAAACCATTTTGCAGTCTATAGGGTGCTTTGCGTGTTTATAACTAACAGCTTACAAAAAGGTTGTTTTGACAAAGAAAAACACCCATGCCATGGGTGTTTTAGTTTGTCAGAACACCAATATTGTAAGCTGTTAGTTATATTATAGGGTTGCAAACTGGCTAATGTGTTTTTAGTAAACCGAATTACTCACCTGAACACTACAATGAATGACATAACATTCAAGACATGACTACTCTGTAAAGCATGCAAGGCAGATGATTGTACATCATAAAATTTTCTGATAGTGTAGGTTACTTGCCCCCGGCGTTAATAGTGAAACGTTTTCAAGTATGCATGATCAAGTCGCAAGACCACAAGCAGCAAGTCTTAGCTGTCGAGTAGACTCATGATAAGGCAAGGAAGTTTGACCTCCCGATTCTAACGTGAGAGTAGTTAGGCAGGCTCACTTGTGCTGTATAGCACATTCAATAAAGTTTATTTTTTCTCCTGTTAAGTGTCAAATATTGAAAATAAAACGCACATTTAAAAGGAAGCTCTTGGAACTATGCGACATACCCGATAACCCCATATTATGGCAGGCATCTAACATGGTCTGAGCAGAGGGATAAAAGAGACTTCTATAGCTTGAAAGGCCTAGATAGCTGACTGCCACGCATACTGTTTGTTTTCCACAAAAAAACAAAGAGAAAGAAAGAGAGAGATAGTGTTTTCTAGTTTATCTTGGGCTGAAACGAGATATTTACCCCATTGTGTCGACAGTCACTGTGCAATAGCGAATATTTTATTCCGTCCATTACCGCAATCTCGTATTGCGGAAATTCCCAGGAACTAAGCCTCCAATTGTTTCTCATTTGCGTGTGCCTTGCGCGAAGCTAAAGTTGGTATAAGGTAGGTGGACACGGTAACGTCTAATTGCCTCCGTCTCTGATTACGTATCATTTTTCTCAGTATGGCTTAAAGAAAAGACGGGAAATATCAGTCGACACGCGAACCTCGTCCTTGGCCGAAGTCTCTTTCTTGCGCGCGGTTTTTTTCAAGAATACGACACGGCCTCCGCAGACAACTGGGTGCATTAGTCTGCGTTTCTTTCTTTTGACTGCTTTAATTTTTTTTATTCTTTGTCTCATTTTTTGCTGTCTCTGCTTATGTCCGTATAGTCGTGCGCGTAGGCGATACGGTATGCGTGCGCACCCCACTATGCTGCGTTCGCAGTGACCCTGTCCACTTCGCAAATTTACTTTAGACTTTGCTAGTGTTCGTTTTCTTGCGCGGGTATAAAGCCGCGCACCGGATCTGCGCAGATATATGTGCATTAACGGCGCCGACGCATAACCCCTGACCTGAAGTGTTTCTCAGAATCGGTGTATACGTGTCTTCCATATGCAAAAAAAAAAAAAAAACCACAGGGGGTCCCCGCTGATGCGCGCGACCTTGTGAGACGTTGAAACAGATGCCTAGGCACCTGTCTGAGCTGTCATTGCGCGAAGCAGCCCCGTTTTGTTCTTTTTTTTTCCCGGCACCTTGGCCTTGGATAACCTTATATGAACTCCCGGAGTAACGCATACGCGTATCGTCGACTGCCGATGACAACTCTGTCGGTAAATCTTTCTGTCCTTGCGCTAGCCCTGAGAACGGTATTGGCGGACGGTTCTGACGAGGTTAGCCTTGCCGAATAAGTTTGTTTACGCTAGCGTGTTTATAGCAAGAACTAGATGATTGATGATCAAAGACAGCGAATTTATGCAGAGGTACGGGTCTTGCTTCGATAATATATAGACAATATTTTTGTCAGATAGCACGCATTTTGTTACCATATTCTTTTTCTTTCTCTCACTTGTTCGGGTGGTTGAGCTTGTTGGGTGACTTCTGTAGCTTGCAGTTATGTGGACACTGTATTCTTGAAAATTATGTTCTTCCATATGTTTATTACTGCTCCTTTAATACTATAGGTTGCATTTCTGATTTGACAGGGGAGACGTCCAGGTGAGCTTACACAACTTGCAATAAATATGCCTCACCGGGACTTACAGATTCAGCCTGTCCCCAATAGTCCTAGATCAGTGACTTGACGGTACTGAATAGCAACAACGTAACTTCATATCTTAAAATGCCCCTGTCTTTCGGCATATCGATGCTTATCGAGTATCAATCGAAGCATTTAGCGAATCAAGTTTCTCAGCATGCAGTTCTGTGTAAGTTCTTTCTAATACTCGTAAACGAAACTCGTGCAATCATAAATTGCGAGCACGATTTGAATATGAAAGAAACGTCCAATTCTATTTGTGACACAAATCATGGTGATCAGTGAATCAGGTGGTGCTACCACCTCAGTGTTGAAGTGCTACCACCACACGCATTATTTTACGAATCCTATATCTCAACACGACTGTCACAAAAGACATGCGATGAGTTACGTTGGCACGACCGCCGAGACAGGTGCCATTTACGTTGTCGAATTGCTGTCCGTAAACTCCACTATAGAGCTTCTGCCTTCCGTGTACATGTCTTTTTTTGCTACACATTACACACACCTGTCATTCATCACGGCTGCGTACGCACGAGGGCGCAACCTTCGATTATGCGCCTTCTATTGCTTCGTCGGAAATTGACAGCAGGGCCTTCACTGGAACGTCTGGACGCGCCAGCGTTCGCGCTTGCCGACTTGCACGTGCAATTCACTGAAAGCATCCGATCGTGGTCCCAAATGCCCTCGTGTTGGCCGACCCTCCCAGCCTTTGGACGTTTCGGCTGTGCTCATTTTGATGACTGTCTGGCTAGTGAAGGAGAGGTCGTGAAGAACGTTGGCCTTGGTGGCGAGGCCGTTGAAATTTTCGCTCCGTGAAGTGCCTGCTGCTTGTGAAACTCCTCGTGTATGTGCCATTGTAATGGAACTGGTCTTTGTTTCTTTTTTTGTCTTTCAAGCCTGAAGTCAGTCGTCCGTGATGCGCTTTTGTAAAGACACCTCAAGCAACGACTTCACTGAGAACCTCCCATTACCTTGTTTTGAAAAGCTCGACTATAATGAATGCATTAAGTGAACACTTTTGTGGTTTTCGTTTTCTCAGCACAGTGAGCGCAAAGAAAAGAAGAAAATGTTTCAAGTGTGAATGCTCAGTATTATATTTACCTCAAGTCGACGAGCTCGTCTGAACTTCTTGCTTGTGTTTATATTTGAGCGCCGTGCTTCTATGACAGACTCTGCAGCTCTCTTTGCGCTTCAACATATCTATGTTATTCCGCAAGGATGCTGAAGCGTTTCACACCATAGTTGGTCACTATAGTTGGCTCAGATACGTGTGTGACAAACTAAAATGACGAGTGAAGAAGCATACTCGGAAAAAAGCAGTAAAGGGATTTAGTTGTATCCCATCACATGCCTAACGCCGTTTTTACCCACTGTGTGCGGATGTTGTCAGGGAGGACATGACTTTTGCTGCTATTGAGGGTGATCTTAAGTGTGGATGGGCTCTAGTACTGTGGTTTCTCTTTCATTTATTAGCGTTGAAGTTACGTGTTCTCAGATGCCTCTGTTGCTATTCTGCACAGATGATGATACGAAAAAAAAAAGCGTTCTTGGCGTTCTGATCACGTCTGCTATCCCGAAAAGTACATTTTGTGGAGCTTCTACGAAAAGCATGGCGAGTGCAGTGTTGTTGGATATGCGTGGTAGTCTTTCGCACAAGATAAACAGCCTGATTATACCACGTGCATACTCCTCGATCTTCCCGTAGAAAGAATAAAATTAGCAAAATCACGAAAGTGTGCTTGGCCATTTTTTGTTTTGTATGGCAATGTATTAGAGAGTTGGTCTACACGCACGTCTCAAAGGGACACCGCTCTATTCTACGCAGTTTGAGAGTCTCGCTCACGTTTGCAGGGCACGTACAAGCTTAAGATGACCATTTTCGTTTTGTCTCGTCTTTCTTCTTTTCTGTTGCATACGAACGCATCCACTGGCTCGACGATTTAAGGCTGTGCCGACAAAAACAACGAGATTTGACGATAACATGCAGGTTTTCACGGGAAGAATTTGCATGCAAGGTTCGGTTTCGTTTAATGCAACAGAGAATGCCTGTTGCGGCCGGCGGAAAGTTTCTCAACTCTCAGCCACGCACTCTCCCGATGCGCTTGCTGAAAGCCTTCGCTTTTTTTGGTTTAGTTTTCTGGCGGTCACTTTCACTCGTTCGAGCAAAGAGGAATATGAAGAGGAAGAATAATCTGAGAGAGTCTATTCACAGGGCTGTTAATAAAATGAGAAAAAAAAAAGCTGCGGCAAAGGGAAAGGGCTTCGCAGACATGCTGCGTAGTTTTAAAGGACTAGATATAGCTGTGAAAAATCACACTTGTTGCCAAATGCGCCGAAGGAATATTCCCCCATTGAGTCAAGAGCGCGTTGAACTGAATTATTTATCCGTCCTTGCGCTTTCTTTGGGCTGCGCAGTTCGTCACAAAACACTATGAGTGGACTTCAATCTAAGCGCAGCAACTTCAATTTATGGCACGCGTCTTCATAGCAGAATAGACAGTCGCAGCGCCCAAGCGGGTCCACGAAGCGATTAGCGTATAAAATCGTAGATCTCAACCGATGAGACGCTGCTTATATTTATAACTCTCGTTAAGGGTATGACGTTTGGCGTGAAAACGTGTTCAGGAGCACACGCACTTGCGAGACTTTAACGTGTGGTCTTGTAACTGGTTTGTGCTGTGGAATCGTTCTGGGTGTTCTTTCGATTCCGTTATATAGTTCAATCTAAGGTCGAATCGCGTGCATGCACTCCATTTATAGATATGAGACCCCTTCGATTACTTCAACTGCATGCTAAAAAAAGTGCTCGGGGTATTTTCTTTCCTATATAAAATAGTAAATCACTGTTCTACAAACTCACATGCAAGCATACACACACGCGCAAATATTCGAAACAGTTGTGGGGCTTTGCAAAACTGCGAGTGTTGTCAACGTTTACGTGTGTGCGTGTGCGTAATCGCGCTTCGGTATTTTTAGCAACATGAGCTACAAAGTAGGTCAGCGGCAAGTTTTTTTATGGCACTTTCTTCGACAAGTCATTCGAATGTTTGAACATCTGTACGACAACCTTTTTATAAGGATAATAGGAGCAAAGGGGTTGAGCTCCTTTGCAAAGTAAATATGGAACACCGTCGTCAACGGACGTACACACAACTAAGTGAGTGACGGAACCATCGTCTCTCTGCGTTCTTGGTATACCGTTTAATGTGTTTTGGCACGTCTTGGTCGAACTGTCATTACATTTACTGATCAAAAGGGTAACAAAAATAATAGATCTGTCACCACTATACTATCTGGGGTTTGATGCCCACCAAACTACGATATAATTAGACGAACATTGTATTGGAGGGCTCAGGAAAAATTTGATCTCCTGGCGTTATTTTTAGTGCAGTGTCATTGCACAGTACATGGGCTTCTACTGTTTCATCTTCATCGAACCTGCGACCTTCGGGTCAGAAACCGTGCACTGCAACCTCTGATTCACCGAGATAGAGAGATCTGTTAGCACGTGCGCGCCATTGAAGTCGTTCACAGATCAACGAAAGTGCGTGCATTAGAGGGGAAGCAAAATGCGCGAGTACATGCATTCTGCATGGTGGGTGAGAAGTGGTCTGGCTCTCTGTTTCCATTTGAGGGTTTCACCTTGCAAAGTGTTGCGATTCTGGCATTGCGCCGCGCGTGTAGATCCAAGTTGTCACGTACCATCACAGATTAGTGAAACTACCGTCTCTTGATAGAAGCAAGGCATGGAGTTTTCAGCGTGGAGGTTGAATACGAACGACATGTACGCACAACCACCTAGCATAGTCAGATAGATGCCTCACCCCAGCATAACCATAGCCCAATTTCTGCAGAAATTAGGTTTACAGGAGTGTTTAGTTCTTTAGTTTAGGTTAGCCTCTTTGAGCGAAGCGTAAGTATTTGACCGGACGAAACCTGGGAAGTTATTAAGAATCCTTTGCTTCCTTATTTGTCTGTAAGGAAAACGTTATTTGAATATACGTGAAAACTAACCACCTGTGAATGAATAATCTAATGTCCCCTGGGGTGGGGGGTGGCTACACTTAACGCTAAACCTTTGAATTATTTCGTAGATTGAACACTGTTTATTTGCTTACACTATAAAAATAACCATCTGAATTATTCTAGCAACTGAACTTACACCTTAATAAGCCAAATGGCAAAAAAAAAAAAGGAATGCTAACACAACGTAGCATATTTGCTACGTGCTCATATTTGCAACGTGCTCAGAATGTTTTTTTTTCATTAGCCCAAGAGTTCTGAATATGAATATGCAGCTTTATTTTTATTCCGAAAACATCATCTTTGTCGGTGGACAATCTATACATAATGAGGTAAAATATCATTCGGGTGTTTGTAAGAAAATTCCTTCAATGAATGATGTGCAGAATTTAAGGCGCATTGTTCATTTCTTTTCTCAACTTTTCGTTTTAAAAATGGGGGCTATGGGAGATTACACCTTCGCCTACTTCCTGACGTTTCATTAGTTGAAAGCCGCAGCAAACGCGAGTGTCCCATCGATCGCTCTTCAAACCAGAAACACTCGTCTGGTTTCTTTACTTTAATGACTCCGCAGAAAGCACCGTCTTGCACGAGCATTGATCGCAAGCATGCACGCACTCACTGTTTTTCACGTCTACAGGTTGCACGAACACAGCCGCCCTGGCGAGGGACGCGAAGACACACAGCAGAAGGAGCACCGTCCCGAATCCCTGCCTCCGGCTGAACCGCATGCTGATGCCGCTTGCGTTTGCGCGACACTTCCACAACGAAGAGCGCACTCGGCGGCAGTTTCTGTTTGAGTGGAACGCCGTAGCGGGACTGCAAACTCTTTTATATAAACGTCTCTCCGCCGACTTTAGCGAGTGCGTGCGTATGTTTGTGGAGCGCCCCGAGCGAAAACCGGATTGTCTGGCGCAGCGGACCTGGGTATTCCCCTGGCGGGCGAGGAGGAACTGCTGCGAGCTGGGAGGGGTAGTACAACCTCCTTGGTTGCGAGTGTCGTTCCCGGTCGGCCGGCCCGAGCGGTTGCGTTTGCTACGTTCTCTGGGCGAAGACCTTTTGCACGAAAACAAAAAAGGAGCAAATGAATTCAAACGTTTTAGCCTAATGTGGCCCGAAGCTGCACTATCTGCATACCGTGGCGCTCAGATGCAGCGTGTTGGTGCTGGTCTGTTAGGCCGCACGTCTAAATAGAGTGCAGAAAAACATTATGACCCCATGCGACGAGAAATATTGCCGTGTTTGGCGCATTTCTCCTTTTTTCTGTTTGAGTTTATGGGCAGAATGAACTATAGAAGTGGGGTTTCTGCAATGACGCACATTCATGATAGATAGGTATGACTCATTCATTTAAACAAAACTATGTATTAGCTTTTGGACGCACTCTGCGGCTTTTAGATGCTGCCTTACTCGATAGATCTGTCCAGTAGGTAACACAAGCTGTGATCATGGTTGTGGCAATGTGTCGTAGCTGCAGGCGCGCGTTTAGCCCCAGCGGTCGTGGTCGGCGACTCCTATCGAACAGATGAGCATATCTTAGAAATATAAACAAGGGGTGACTCCTCGTTGCTGGTTATGCTGAGAATGCTGCGAGAAAGGCGAACCAAAGTAACGTGAAGCGACCGGATAAATGGGTGGTAAGCACTATATGCGGACGATATCCTGTTGGATGGAAGTCAACCTAAGGTTGACGGTGACCTGGATGGCCCACTATACGGCCTTCGTTTGGATAACTGGGTCTCAGCTGTCCAGCACGGCCTCCATCTGCTCGAGAAAACGACCACGTATAAGATCCGGTGGCACCATGCTGTAGTCTCACGTGATATGATTGCAGATCGCCACTGCCTGGCACAATTTGCACTTTGGCTTAATCTTATCTGGCATATCTTATTCAGCGCGAACTCGTTGGGAAAACATCTGGTCTGCAATTTTTCCCAGCGCATGTTTGCGCCTTGTGCCGCGACCACTTGTGCAGCGACTGATAAAGCCTGAACGAGCGTGCATACGAGTTCGGTCAGGCATGAACAAATAAATACTGTGCCTTAAAGAAAGCACAGTAAAGGGAAACAAATATTGAACCTGAAATGACGATCTGCAAAGAAAAAAAGACTCGGTAGAAGCATCGAGCACGGAAGAAACATCTTCTACACGCAGTGAAGCGTAGATTAAGAACATGTTCGCGACGTGGTTCGTAACGGAGAAGTGCGTAAAGCAATCTCTATACACGACTATGATTAACTTGGAACGTAAGTGCAGGCTTCCCAGTTAACAGCAAGTCGGGAAACGTCTATACGCATTGACTAACACGGAGACGTGAACATATCGTTCGCGTGTGCAGACAAGGAGTTTGTTAAGCCCTTCGCATATAGAGCGAGATCGGTGCCACGTGGCGTCTGTGCTGTAGACTCTTGGCCCCTATTCGCAAAAATGTACTGCGCCAAAACTGCTCGTAAAAAAACAAAGCCAATTCTGACGTTAGACATGTCGATAGTTATAGCGCGAGAACGGAACGACAACAAAGAGACAAGAAGGACACGAGCGCTCGTGTCCTTCTTGTCTCTTAGTCGTCGCTCGTGTCCTTCTTGTCTTTTTGTCGTCGTTCTGTTCTCGCACGATGACTACCGTCATGTCATACCAACTAGCCCAAACTGCCACACTTCTGAGCTAGACATGTAATTAGTGAAGCCGGTTGTCTAATGGGATAGGGTATTTCTGAACCGTGAATTTTAACATGTCCACCTTGCACGTTGTGTGTGCAAGTACTAAATAAAGGCGGTCGTTCTGACGATTGTTGCAGCACCCACGTCGCCGAGACGCGTGGATTCATTGTTTAGGAACTTACGCTGTGGGTCTAGTTGGTTCAACATCTCAGCAAAATACAGGCATATCGAGTTTTTTTCACTGAAAGCCTTTGACAGTGTCACCATTTAGTTTTAAATACCATATCCCTTTTGTTTCTCCGAAGCTTTGTGTACATTTGCAGAAATGATGTGGAGCTTCGTTTATGTCTCTGCATTAAGAGAAGCATGAACGTGATTGAAAATTTTAATCCCTGCATTTGTAATTAGTGCTTCCTGCTGAACGTTATCCTTGAACCAAACCCTAAAATGCGTCATGCCACCTTACTTTATTGAAAAATGTCAATCGATTACCTTCATGTAATTGATGGCACTGAACATGCGGTTTCCTCTGATGATGTTTTTGGGGCAGCCCTATGCCAACCCAGCAAATTTGGGTTAGGAACGCATGGATGGCTACCTAGGTTGCGTTGAGGCTGGTTGCATCTACACTACCTAGGTAGAGTCGATGCATCTAATGAGTACAAATATATCTAATAATGTAATATTATTGCCAAACCAACTTTGCCGTTATAATATATCCACTTGTATATTCCAAGGACATTCCCGCAGTTGGAACGGGAACCAAACGCGAACTGCACCGACTCTACTCATTTGACCATGTATCCTGTGTCATATGGATTGTCTCGTCATATATAACAAGTCGTATGAAATATTTTAGTTTCGTAAAGATGCAACGGAAAGCTGAGAGCACTTTTTTGACGCGTTTCAAGTACTTCGAACGACGTCCCGTCTTAGAAAGCTTCGAAATGGTCCAAAATGTCGAAAGTGAGCACTTAGAGGTAGCGCAGTATTTACCTGCAGCTTTTCAAGTGGTCAATAACCTCACGGGAGCATCGAGTGACGCAGTGGTTAGCGCCATGTCACGAGGGCCTCACGCATGCGCACAAGACGTAGACCTAACTGTGCCCTAGCGTCATGTGTTAGGCTCTTGTAGCGAGCTTCATAAAGACCACCGTGCTTATCCACTTTTAATTTGATGGCTTTACGTCCCAAAAGCACGGTATGTTATTGGACATGCCGCAAAGAAGGGCTCCAGAAATTTCGAAGAGCTGGGGTTCTTTACCGTGCATCTAAATATAAGAACACAGGAAATGCGGCCGGCACTGCCGCGATTCGGTCCCACGACCTTCTGGGCAGCAGTGGAGCACCGTAATCATATAGGCCACCCTGGCGAGTGCTTATCCGCTTACAAAACATTCAAGCAATGATGCGCACGTAACGCACAGTGTAGGCAATTGAATAAATGAAATGGCAGCATATCCACGGAGTGAATGATGGAGAGTGGCGCGAAGCATTCGTTCGTCCATTCGTTCTTGCTTCCGTCCGTCCATGCGTCCGTATGTGTGACCATCCGTGCGTCCATCTGCCCATCCGTGCGTGCGTCTGTTCGTGCGTCCGTCCCTGCGTTCGTCAATGCATCCGCCCCTGCGTCCGTTCATGCGTCCATCCATGCATCTGTCTGTGTGTCCGTTCGTCCATCTATTCAACACTCCAAGTACCACCATCTCGCATCTTTTCATCCCTTTCTTGTCAGATAGTGCTCAATGTACATGCCAATGGCTGCTAATGGGGAATGAGAGACATGAGCATTCGGCGTTTAGTTAACGCGCACGCAACGAACTTTTTATTGTTCAACAAAGCACAGGAGAAAACTCCCACCGGCACCACCTTGCAGGTCAAAATGTTACACTTGTTACACACTACGACTACGACTACGAGGGATGAACGGGTGCCGCTTCAAGGAGCTTCGCCCCTAAAAAAAATCAACGTATATGCGGATAAGCACCGTGAATTATGCTGAGATTAGTGATGCATGCAAGTCGGAGCTTGTGCAAACGGATGGCCTTGCGTGTATTAAACTATATCTCCTTCACGAGTACTTTTTGCAACACGGTGCCGCTCGAGACGATAGTCGACACGACCATTAGCTGCACACACGAGGTGTGCGAAATGGCCAATGCGTCTCGCGAGAGCTGCGTGCGGTGTTCTTGATCATCGGTGCCAACTCGGCCTCTTGCTCCGCTCCGACTGTCTGATCCACTTACGGCAGGAGCTGCGAATATGAGTTGTTCGTATGCGGCGCTACAGGGAGTGGTTTTCGATCAGTGGACGGGATTCGTGCAGTGCACTGGTGACGATTTCTGCGCAAAGCTGCATTGTGGCAGCATGTATGGATCGTACTGAACGAAAGTACACTGACCAAATAGTATATTTGGAAGAAAAGGCATTTAAATTTTCATCCGAAAGCCGTGTTCACAAAATCGATAAATCTAAATAAATAAATAAAATGGACAAATAGATTCTTTCAACATGTGTGGAAGCCGATGCGTCGTTTCCTTCAAGATCTAGTATGGTTGGTGCGCTCTTTTTTCTCTCGTTACGTTTGACCTCGAATATACCAGTTTCTGCTCAATTCTCTATTTGTTTGCGAGAGTAGGTCTAACTGTCCCCACGTGGGAGCGCCCCATGGTGTCGCCCTAAGAGGTGGCCCTTCTCCAGATCATTAAGGAAAGCTCTTCGTACCTTATTGTGCGAAGTTGGTTGAATATAGAGAGAGTGAGTTCGCAATTCATAATGCCAGAGGGATCAGTGGGCGGCAATAAATTGTCGCACTACTATGTAGGTAGCGCAAACAAGTATGATGAGGTTCAGTAGAGACATTGCGCAGGAAGAGTACACTATTACTGTTGATGTGTGTGCTTATTTGCACCGGACAGTTCAAAGATTATATGTGGAGCAAACTTCGTCATGGATAATTTTGCCGGCTTGCCACTTTAGCAGTGGCGTTCATGGTTCTTGTGGTACTCATATTGCAAGTAAATTTGGTTTATTTGTGACGATTTGTACCCAAGTTGTAAATTAAAAAAGCATCGAAGTTCCGGCTTCTAGCTTATGTAATAAAGGCGCCTGCATTAAAATTTTGCGCGGTGGCAGGGCCGACATTGCGATAAGAATC